CTGGGATGGGCACGCTCAGAGCTGGCACCGGGGCCTCCAGGCTCCTCCTGCCACTGGTTCACACCCAGCCATGGCCACTGCTGCTGGTGGGGCAGCACCGGAGACAGCCAGGACACCGGGAGGGCCGACACGGGCAGTGCCAAGGGGACCGGGTCCCCAGAGCGCCCAAGGGATGAGCCCAAGGCCGGTGTCCCTGCAGAGCCCATCTCACATCCAGGAGCTGGATCCGGAGCCAGCAGCCCTGGGACCAACCCCGGTTTGTGCCTCCGGGCTGGGATCGGAGCCGGATCACGGGGAGCTGGAAGCGCAGCCCTGGACTGGGAATAACGGCACCCCCATGGCGGGGAGAGTGGGAAGGAGCAGGTCTGGCTGCGATGGGAAAACCCCTTCACCCCCAGCCCTGCAGTGAGCCCCCCGAGAGCAGCAGCACAGGGGCCCCCGCAGCCGCCCCCACTGCGGAGCTGAACGCAGCCCACGTTGATGCATCCCCTTTGGGACGTTCACCTGGAAGCCCTGAGGTCAGAGAGCAGAGCTCTGATCCCAAGCACGCAGGGGGTGCAGCTCTGGGCTCAATTCAGCCTGGTGAGGACCCCAGGCCAGCGCGGTTCCCAATGCCTGCGGCAGCAAAGCTCTCCCCTGTGGTTCCCTACCTCCCGCAGGGGGAAGGAGGCCTCTTGGAGGTCACCAGTGACAGGGACCAGGCTTTAATGCGGTGCCAGCATCCCCAGGCAGGCTCGGGGCGGGCAGCACAAGCGGGGCTGTGCTCAGGAGGCAGGGAAGGAGCTGCAGAGCTGACAGGAAGGGGAAGGCGGAGACTGCCAGGAAGCAGCAGAGGGGAGGAAGGAGCGATCTGCGGGGCCGTGACTTGGGAAGGGATGGAAGCAAGCGCGGGGCTGCCCCTGCAGGAGCCGGAGCAAGGGCAAAGAGGGGGTGAAGGTGTGGGGATGGGAGGCAGGGAGCAGGGCGGGGGTCAGAGCTGTCAGTGAGGAGGGAGCACGAGGGGGTCGCACCCCACACTGGCAGCACCCGAGGTGCTCTTCTGGAGCATCCCTGCATGCTTTGTGTGCAAGGAGAGGAAGGAGGGGACAAGGCAGGCACTGGCACCGGACATGGAGTTACAGAGGGGTTTAGACCTTCACGGCCACAAGGACAGGAGCAACGTCCCCAGGACATCAACCTTGACCAGCAGACCCGTGGTGCAATCCTCAGAGAGGACCACGTGAGCCAAGCCTGTTCTCACTGGAGGGAGGAGAGATACTGGCCCATGCAAGACCCTGTAAACAAGACGGGCTCCTTCAGCCAGGTCTTGATGTGACAGGGCCTCAGATCAGGGCCCTGCACTGGGCATCCCATCAAAGCCCCCATCCTGCTGTGGGCTCAGCTCTTTGCTGGCCGTTTGAACCGGTGCAGCAGCACTGGGAGCAGCATGTGGGGAGCTTTCAGTGTGGTCCTGGGGCTCCTGGCACAGTGTGAACTTTATGGTGCTGCTGGGGGGAAAACCCAATAAGTGCTTGGAGAGGGCAAGGGCTGAAAACCAACGAGGCACCAGAGTGCCCTGCCCGGGTGGTGAGCGCAGCCTCCTTACTTCCTATTGCACCACAGCAGCCCCGTGCTGCTGCAGCCCCAAGCCAAGGACCGGAACCACTGGGTCCTCATCAGTGGAGCAGATGGATCCCCATCAATGGAGCGGATGGATCCCCATCAATCAGGTGGAGCCCCTGGATCCCCATCAATGGAGCGGATGGATCCCCATCAATCAGGTGGAGCCCCTGGATCCCCATCAATGGAGCGGATGGATCCCCATCAATCAGGTGGAGCCCCTGGATCCCCATCAGTGGAGCGGATGGATCCCCATCAATGGAGCCCCTGGATCCCCATCAATGGAGCCCCTGGGTCCCCATCAATCAGGTGGAGCCCCTGGATCCCCATCAATCAGGTGGAGCCCCTGGGTCCCCATCAATGGAGCGGATGGATCCCCATCAATGGAGCCCCTGGATCCCCATCAATCAGGTGGAGCTGTCTCCTGGAGCAGCTCATGGATGGACTTTGCCCCTCCAGGCTGCAGTAGCCACCTCCCTGCAGCCTTGATCCATGCAGCTCCTCCATAAGCAAGCCACAACCCGGGTCCTTCAGGGCAGTAACGGGAGCCCCCCGGGCCAGGAGGGAGCCCCCCGCGCTGCCACGTGGCGTTTGCACAGGAACCGGCCACTTCTCAGTGCCACAAATAGCGCAGGAGGAGCGGAGCCGCTGCGGCCCCGCTCAGCGCATGCTCTGCACCCGCAGGAAGCTGGTGCCCTGCCAGGCCCCGGCCCCGTGCACCGAGCCCTGGTGTGTGGGGACCGGAGCTGCTCCCAGCAACAGCACCGGGGGCCAAAGGAAGCAGTGCAGAGCACAGCCCCGGTGCCACCGGGAGCAGCAGCCTGGGCCAGGGACCCTGCTCCCCATTGCCAGCAGCTTCACTGCACCCCGGTCCCACCTCCAGGGATGTCTCAGCAGCAGCAGCTCACCCCGGGCTCAAGCAGAGCCTGCCCCGGCCATGCCAATGCACTGCACCGCAGGTGGGATGAGCCTCCCGATGGGTTTGACTCAAGCACAGGCTCCAAGCAGTGTGGCAGCAGTGGGTGGCAGGGGGCAACGCAGCCCTGGGGCGGGCCCGCAGCCCATGAGAGCTGGAGGATGAGGGGAGGCAGCACCGGCTGCGAGCAGGGAGCAGCCAAGCACTGGGCTGAGAGGAGGTGTTGCCTCCTGGAGCACAGCACCGAGCTCCAGCGCCTCCAGCATCAACAGAAGGCAGCCGGGCAGCCCGAAGAACCCATCAAATGGGGGCAAAGGGTCCCTGTGATGCTCTTACTGATGCAGTCACCAGCATGAGGGAAACTGGGATCTAATCAGCCCCGACACCCTGCACAGGAGCCTCTCCCCCCACCAAGGGGAAGCCTTGACCAGGTTGAAAGATTTGAGGCTCGAACCTTTCTGATGGTGCTGGACTCCGTGGTGAGCCTCTGGAGCAGAGCCAGGCAGCACCCAACAGAGCCAGGGCCCCGTGCAGCGCGATGCAAGCTCCAGAGCTCCGAGCAAAGCTGCTATAAGTAGCTCAAGAGCTCAAGTTCATCTTTAGCTCCCTGCCAAGGGCAGAGCACAATGGGCCCAAGCTGTGCCGTGTTCCCAGCTCCGTCACCCCCAGCTGTGCCCGGGTCACGTTCAGTTATCAGCAGTGGGAGCATCACGGCCCCGCTCAGATCCAAGCGGCTGCAGTGACACCGGGCTCCCACACACGCACCCGCAGCCGGATGGAAAGCTGCGCTCCACCAAAGCAGGGGATGGCTCCGGGCAATGCAAGAGCTTCCCAAGGGCTGCTCGGGGAGGACTCGGCTCCAGCTCCTCGGGAGCGGTTCCAAAGCCAGCCCCAGAGGTGGGAAAGCGGAGCAGCGCTGCTGGGATTTGCAGGGATTTGCAAAGGAGAGGGCAGAGCTCCCCAGCCACCCGCACACCTCCCCTGGCTGCTCCTCATCCCAGCTCCCATTGCCCCAGCAGGCACCCCTCCTGCCCCCTGTCACTGTGGGAGCAGCAGGAGAGGCTCCACTGCAGTGCACAGAGCCAGTGGTCACCTCCAGGGTGGAAGCGGGGTTGGCTGCTCTGCCCCAAACACACGGGTAGGGCCAGTGCCCTGCAGCGGCAGCAGGGGTGTGCACACAGAGCCTGGGGGACAAGAGCCATGCACAGCCCAGGGCAACGGCAGGCAGAGCCCTTGGGCAGCTCCACCAGCCACGGGCCGTATTCACCATGCCTGCTCCTCGGTCACTGCATCACCCCTGCCCTGCGGGACGCTCACCCAGCCGAAGCACTGCGGAGCAGCTCTGTGCAAGGGGTTAAAGCTCCACTAGAGATATCAGCCAGGTTCTTCCAGCCCTGCTGCAGGACCCTCCTCTGGTGTCAGTCTTGCTCACGCTGATGAAATGAGCCCTCACCATTTCACAGGCGGCCCCAGGACCTGCTCCAGCCCAGGGTCCAGCCCACAGTGAGACCCCAGCAGGGACACGGGTGTGTGAGCACCCACCACGGACACTGGCACCGGGCCGCAGCTCCTCTGCTCTGGATGCTCTGACCCCCCCAACAGGGTCTGTGCGGGAACAGCCCCAGCTCAAGAGCCCTGGGAGCTGCCCCAGCCCCGCGCTGCGCCTGCTGGGCCCGGGACAGGAAAGAATCCCCGTTACCGCGGGAGGACTGCGCTAATCACTGCCCTGACTGCGACCCGTGCTGCCCCCACCTGCTGCCGGGCGCCGGTGCACGGCGGCCCCGGCTCAGCCCCGCCGCGGGGATTCCAATGCGAACCGGCGAGCACAGGGACCGGGGGCAGCGCCGCGCCCTGGCCCGGCCCGGCCCGGCCAGCTCCGCTCCGTCCGCCACCGGCTCAGCCCAGCCCCCCCCCCCCCCAAGGTACAGCAGCCCCAGCCCCGGCCCCCCCTCGGGGTACAGCGGCCCCGGCCCTCCCCGCGCTCACCGGCGGTCCCGGCGGGGCGGGGCAGCGGCTCCCGGTGCCGGCGGCGATCGCGTCCGGACCCTGCCCGAGTGACGAGAGCCTGCAGCCGCGCGGCCCCGCCCCGCTGCGTCACTCCGGGCGCAGCCAATGGCGGCGCGGCGCTCCCACGGCCCTGCGAGGGACGGGCCCTGACGACCAATCAGCGCGGCCGCCGAGCAGTACGTCACGGCTCTCGGCGGCGCGGGGGGCTGCGCCGTGACGGCTGTTCCCGGATAGCACCGCCTCCCGCCGCAGGGCGGCGCTGGGGAGGGGGCGGTGCGGCAGGGGGGGGCAGCCACTGCCGGGAACGGCCGTGCGGGAAACCCAGCTGAGTTCCGGGCAGCGCCGTGACGTCACCGCGCGGCCCACCGCCACCGCCTCTTAAAGGGGCAGCGCCGACTTCAGGCTCCCGAGTCCCGACGGCGCGGTCCCCGGTGCCGCCGGTGCCCCCGGGCCGGTGCACGGAGAGGCCGCACGCGGGTGGTTTAGAAAAGAGACTTTATTTGTCGCGCTCTCGCCTGGACGCAGCCGCGGGAGCGTTGGGGCTCGTCCGGCCGCGCCCGCCCGGCCCGGGGAAGGGGGGGAACCTGCGAGGAAACGGCCCGGGGTGGGGGAGGGCCCGGAAATGCCGCCCCGTGGGCACAGCCGGTGCTCGGGGACCGGGGGCTGCCCGCAACCGCCACCCGCACGGGGAACAGTGGCTGCGGCCGCGCTGCCCTGGGGCGGCTCTACCGGGGCACCGGGTCGAGCCCCTGGGCCAGGCCGGGTGCAGTGGACGATAAGCGGGACGCTTGGGGGAGAAGCGGGGTTACCTATTGGGTTACGCTGGCTCCGACGGGAGGGAAGCGACGGCGCTCCCGGGAAGGGTGGAGCCCGGCGAGCAGACGGGAACGGGCACGACCGGGGCCCTCCCGCACCCCTCGCCGGGATCTCCCTTCCCGGGCGCAGCCGCTCCCGCAGGGCCGGGTCTGAGCTGGCGCTGCCTTGTGCGAGGTGAAGCTGCAGAAAGAGGGAGAGAAGCGAGGAGGTGGCGGGAGCCTGGGCCGTGCCGGGACCCCCGGGGGAAGAGGGAGCTCGGAAACACTCAAGGTCCGCGGCCGGCCGGTGTCGAGGCCGCTCTGTGGCAGCCACATCAGCGCATCCCGAATCCCTCTGGAAACGCCGCAGGCGGCGGTGGCCGCTCCGGCGCTGTCGCTTGCACATCCCCTCGGTGCCGGCCGCCACCGCCGCCGCGGGTGTCGAGGGACCGCATCCAGCACCGCCGCCGTGGCGCTGCCTGGACTCGCCGGGGCTCTGGCAGCCGGATCCATAACACGGGTGGGGAGGGGGCAGCCCCGGCGCTGCGATGGCCCCAGCACCGAGGGAGGGAGCATTGGGCCCGGCTCTGCGGTGCCACACGGGGCACCCGCGGCTGCCCCCGCTGCAGGGTGGCTTCATGGCGAAGCCATCCGAGGCAGCAGCGGGTCACGGAGTCCTGGGGAGGGCAGAGCGGGTCAGGGCTGTGTGGTGGCCATGCAGGGCTCTGCCTGTCAGGGGGACTCCTGCACGCTGGGTGCAACCGTAGCTCCTCAGCCCCCTCGGATGCTGGAGCCCCCGTGCCTGTGGTTCAGCCACAGGGGGAATATGGGCAGGATGCTGTCTTGACACCAGGTCTTGGCTTCGGGAGGACACTTGAGCTTTCCAGGTGTACAGCCGTTATCTTGGTTTTAGCACTGTCCAGCTGGGTCCCCATCACTCTAAGCCCGTCTTCAGGCTTGGTGCTAAAGGCTTTCTGCGGCAGGAATGGTCTCCAAAGGGTGATTGGACAGTGTAAGAAAAAGAGTCCCGTGTTCCTAACGTTTAGTGTGCTAAAACTAAAACATAAACTACACCTTGTCCAAGCGGGCAGGGGATCGGCGGGGTAGTAAAGATGCATGGTGTACACTTGCCCTGGGGCACCAGGGGCAGAGAGAGCTCTCCAATGTGAGTGAATACGTGTTCAGCCGCCGTCCACAACCGCGCTGCAGCCCCGGCCTACTCGCTGTCGCTCTTGTCCACCAGTACCGCGTCCGACTCCTCCGTGATCTCCAGCAGTGTGTGCGTCTCGGGGCTCTCCCCGCGCATCAGATCCGAGTTTTCTCCCTCCTCTCCACCCACCTCCACCAGCTCCGTGGCTTTCACTTCCACCTCGCCCTCTCTTATCTTCTTGACGTGGAAAGTGAAGGGCGGCACTTTGTAGACGGCTGTCTTGGACCTGGCGTAGATGGTGTGGTCCGGGGTGAAAGACTTCCTCAGCTTGTCCCGAGAGGTCTTCATCTTCTCCCTCCTTTCATTAGTCACAATCTTGGTGCCCAGTTTATTCATCCTCTTCTCCAGGTTGTGGCGGGTCTTCTCCAAGTTGTGGCGGGTCTTCTCCAGGTTCTCCTTGGTCTTTAGCTTCGTTTTCTCCATCTTCTCCTTCGAGAATGCCTTCTTAAAGTCATCCACTCTTTTCATGCCGCTCCTCTTGATGCGCTCTGCCCGTGACTCTTCAATAATCTCTTCAATCTCCACCTCTTCATCTGAGGAGAGCTGGATGTGGTCCTCCTCTGCGTGGTCCTCACCCACAGGCCCCTCTTCACCCTCACCTTCCTTTTCCAGCTTTTCGCCCTCCTTTAGGGACTTGCTGATGCTCAGTTTAGACGGGAGCTTCACTTCATCCTGCAAGACACAGAGCGGAGCCAGTGAGACACACACACAGATACACGCAGCCTCCCCGGGCTCAGAGCCACCCGCAGGTGACATCGGCCCGGGCCCGTCCTCCCTTAGAGCACCCGATGAGTTACTGTCAGGAGGCTCTGCCCCACCCGCAGCAGCTCAGGGCTCTCTGCGGTTAAGCTCAGGATTCCAGGCTGGTTCCAAACCCATCGCGACTCCAGAGCTGCCAGCACCGAACCTGCAGCCTCTTCCCTTCGTGCTCTGCCCCTCTCGCAGCCCCAGTTTCACCATCCCACCGCATCCTGCTGCAGAGGGAGCAGGGAACCCCCCGGAACAATGCGGTGCCGCTCTGCCCCCCAGCGCCCACCCAGGGCCCCTCCTGCCCTATACCGCGATACCGCAGGGGGTGGCTCAACTCGGCAGGGCCGGGGGTCGGCGCTGCGCTGGGCTGCAGATGGCAGCACAGCCCGGAGCCGGGACCTGGCCATGACATAACACAGGGTATGAGCACCCCGGCCTGTGCTCAGACCTTCCCAAGGCCTGCGGGATCCAGATGTGGGGCTGGGACATCCCTTGGGATGCAGCAGCCACCCTGGTTTTCCCATTTCCCTGCTCGGGGTAAGTTAGGGAATTGATCCAAGCTGTGTCTGAAGACAGCAGGAGCAGAGCCCTGACCTGCAGGGCTGCAAGGTTACGCTGCCTCTACTCGGCACGGGGTGAATTCATTCAGCTTCTCCGCTCTCCCGGGTCAGCCAAGTTTCTGATCCCAGCAGCAGAGGACAAGCATGTGCCCGGGAATGGGGCGCAGGTCTGGAGTGGGATTGGTTTTCATCTGAGCAGCACATAGTGTGCATCCCTGCACTGAATCACCGTGTCCCGGCCAGGCTGGAAATAGCCCATCCCTGCACGGAGCTCCCAGCACCACTGCCCCAGGGGTTCTAACCTATGGGGCCGGGTGGGAGAGGCTGGAGTAGCCACAAACCCAGCCCAAGGGCAGCGCAGGGAACAGGCACAGAGCAGAGCTGCTGGGCTGCAGGTGCGGAATCCAGCCCCATTGCCAGCCCCACACAGGCAGGAGCTGAATGGGGGCTGCCGGTGCCCCCCATGTCCCTGGGTGCTGGCTGATGCTCCGGGTCACGCTTGCACAGCGGTACCCACTGCATGGCCCTTCTCCGGCCCCACTCCAGCACCTCCATGTCTCTGTTGTGGTGAGGGGCCCAGAGCTGAACACAGGGTTCGAGGTGCGGCCTCAGCAGTGCCCAGCACAGGGGGGAGATGTCCAGAGCCAGGACATTGGTGATGCTCAAACCAGCAAAGCAGCCACCGGGGCCCAGCCTCTGGAGCCGCTTCTGCACTGGTGCCTGCACGGTGCCCGGTGCATTGAGTGCACGCTGTGGGGCTGGCCAAGGTCACCACCACGCAGGACCCGGGCTGCTCCTCCTGCCCTCGCATCGCTTGAGAACCGAGAGCTGATGGAGTACGTGCCTGCAGCACAGCTCCACCGGGGGAAAGCCAGATGCTTCCAGCTCCTTGGGCAAGCCGCAGTGCTGCAGCCTGAGGGCATCTGGGGAAACCCCTGTGAGCAGGGACAGCTCGGCTCCATGGGGCACAGCGGGGTGCCACGGTTGAAAGGCAGAGTGTGCAGAGCACACAGCTGCACCCTGCGGATCCCGGCTCCGCTCCCCGATGCTTTCTGGGCTCGAGGTGAGGTGGCCGCATGTGTTTTCTTCATTTGCTCTGCTGCTCGAAGGGAAAACAATAGCCAGGCTCTCCCGAGGGCCGGGTCAGCCCCGAGCGAACCCCGGGGCAGGATCCTGTGCTCCACAACAACACCTGCTGGAGCCATCCCAGAGAGCCCCAGCCCCGCCAGCCCAGAACATCAGGAACTCCGGCCGCTTCCTTCCCTCTGAGTCAACACAATGAGCCAGAACAAAGGCATCCCCCTCTCCCTGGCACCGCTGGCCCTGGACTCGGGCCATATCCTGCGAACTCAGATACTTATCGGCCCCTTGTTGACTGCACAACATGTGTGTGCAGGAGGAAACAGCACCTCAGAACCTCCCTGCCTGCCACAGAGATAACCACCGGTCCTGGTGTTACAGCCCCAAAGGCACCTTCTGACCGAATGGGGCTTTATGGGCTGCACCAGCTCAGCACCATCCTGCAGATCTTTCCTTGCAGCCACACCATGGTCGGCAGCAGCTCCCAGTACGTGGGGCAGGGGACAAGGTGGCTCTCTGCAGTCCCTGCCACTGCACCCAGGACCAGCAGTGCAGGCCATCTGGTCCCAGCTCCCACAGGGTGCAGCACGGACAGACCCACACTCACTGTCCCACGCATCCCATGGTGCCCCACGCTGAGCATCCCTCACATGCAGCTCCCCACCCGCACCCAGGCACTGCCCCAATGCCACCAATGCCACCATATGCCCTCCTCCTCCTCCCTGCCCGGTGCCTGCAGACACAGCACTGCCTGTGGGGAGCAATGGGATCTCACTGGATCAATCAAGAACCATCCCGGGTCTGTGAGTGGCTGCTACCCAGATCCCTGCTCTGGCACTGTGGTCTGGCCATTGCTTCACTACGAGCCACATTTTGCACCCCAGGCATTCAAACTACCCTATTTTCACTGGGAAAACACCGACCCTTGGAGAGGGGCTCTGGGCATCGCTGTCTGTTGGGGTGCTCAAACGGGGGCCCCCATCAGCACATGTGAACCAGTTCCGTGCCCGCACGGCTCCCGCTGCCAAAGGCATTGGGCAAACAAGATTCCTCAGGGGGTTTTACACCAGCACAAGGCAAACCCCTGTGTCTGTGTGTGTCTGCCATCCACACCAAGGCTCTTTCACCCACCCCGGCCCGTTTCACTGTGCTGCCCCTCGGCACGGAGCTCCCTGGGGACACGGTTCCCTTTGGGAAGCTGGCAGAGCCGATGGGACCGCGGCTTGTGCCTTGTGAGCACCCAAGGCACTCGGCTGCCAGCAGATGGGTGCAGGGCTGCTCGTGGGATGAGCCCTGTTTTCCAGGCGCGTTCCCATGCAGTGAGTCACGGCCACCCCATGGCCCCCAGCACGTTGCTACAACACACGTAAACACTTCCCCGGCCCTATAAAAGGCCAATGAGACACAAAGCTGAGCTGTGTTCCCAGCCCTGCACAGCGCTGCAGCAGCAGCAGCTCCACCGAGCGTTCCCAAAGCGTGAGAGGGGCTCTGGGCTTGCCCCAGTGGGGTAAAGGACAGAGCCCCAGGACTCCCAAGCACTCCGGGCTCCGGTTGGAAGGTTTAATGGGAGGGTTTTACACACGGGCATGCCAAGCACGTCGGCAGGTCACTGTGCTCCGTTCCTGTCACACACACACAGCAGCAGCACAGACGGTTCGGGCCGGCTCACATGCAGCTGGAACATGCAGAACGTGCCCTGCTCGCATCCCCAGGCTCTGCTATGGGATGATCCCAGCTGCTGATGGGTGAAGGGGAGCTTCTGCCCCGTCCTGCACCCACCCAGGGGAAGCTGAGGGGGGTAACTAAACCTGCCCCCAAGTTTCCCCTGGCAGCAGCATCCCAGTCCCTGGGATGAGTTCACCATCGCGTGGATCCGGGATGGTTCTGTCCCTGGACCGATGTGGCTGCTCCCAGCACCCGAAGCGTGGGCTGCTGGAGCTGGGTGTTGCTCCAGCAGGCACACAATCAGAGGAAGGCTTTAACAGGGCCCTGTGCTGTTACCAGTAGCTCTTGTGGTGTGAGATAAGTGTTAGACAAACAGCGCTGGAAGTCACCACTGGCTCCTAGTGAACAGCACTGGGGGCTGCTGGTGCTGAGCAGGAACAGGTCCTGCCCGACACAACGGGAGCTTTACACGCTCTGTGCTCTCTGCCTGGCTTTATCTACTTGAAACAACTTGAAACCACCCCACAAACACAAGCTAAACCTTACAAGAAGCCCGAGGAGCTTTGATCAGGTCTGTATGGCAGGGGGAGAAACTGAGGCTCAGCAAACAGCTTGGATTTGCCCAGTCACAGCATGCCCCAGCAGAGCCAACGGCTCCTGGCTCGCAGCCCTTCATGCAAGCACACAGCAATCCCTGCCTCCCAGGGCGCAGAGGTGAGTGCGTGACAACCCCCAGGATGCCTGGGAGAAGATCCCGGCTCCAGCAGCACTGGGAGGGCAGCAGCAAGCACACGAGGCAGCAGCGGCGGCGTTGCTGCCAGCTGGAAGCTCAGCCTCGCAGCGGGCTCAAGGCTGCAGCAGCCACAAGCAGAGAGGCAAAGGCTCTGGAAGCAGCAGCTTCGGGAGAGGTTCAAAGTCCTCTTCAGGGGTTTCTCCTGCTGAGGCCCTAAACTGCTGCCTCCTGGCACGTCTTCTGCTGGTGTGGGCCGTGGCCCCCTTCCTGCAGCCGGCTCACAGGGCAGTCCCTGGCGAAGGCTCAGAGGGCACAGGCTGGGTCTTCTCAGGCTAAGACGAGGAAAACGGCGTTTCAATGGCCACGGAAAGGAAGCACAATGGAAAACCTTACCTGTCCCTGCTGGGCATGGGCTCCGGAACGTCGTCGACAGAGTCATCTGGCTTAGCATGAGAACAGGCAGGGGGAGGAGGCACAGGGGGTGTTTTAGTAAAGGCAGAAGCCAGGTAGCAAAATCTGACAGAAAAGACAGCAAAGATTTATCAGAGGGAAGAGCATCCCTGCCTCATCTACAGCAGGGCCTGGGAGGTGCGGAATCCCTCCTATAGCTTCAGGCCCCCTACCCTGAGCACTGCCATAGGGCCAGGTTCTGCTCTCTCCCCACACTGCTGCTCACAGTGATTTGATGGAGCCGTTCCGGTGGTTCCTCTGATCCCTGTGGCATAGCTGAAAGCTCTGTGCCAGCTTATGAAGACACAGCGACTCTAAAGCCTGTGTTGTTCATTCCAGAATCCCAGCACTGGGTTTGTCAGCACAGGGACCATACCTGACCCCAGCGCTGGGCAATACCCAGCAGCTAACAGACATCCGTACCCAGTAACACT